CTGAGGTCCCCCTGGGCTGCCTCTACTCACCCTTCCCTACCCCAGGCCCCTGGCAACCACCCATGTTTCCACTTGTCTCATCTTGCCTTTTCCAGAACGTCATGGAGCTGGAATCCAGCAGTATGTGGCGCTTTCAGAGTGGCTCCTTTCACCTGGTGACATGCTTCTGAGGTCCTCTGTGTCATTTTTGTGGCTTCTGGCTCATTTCCTTTTATCCCTGCATAATACTGTTTTATCTATGTTCATCCATTCACCTGCTGAAGCACGTCTGCAACATACATTGTGAAGTCCCTAAGTTTGGTGAAGTCCTGTTTATCTACTCTTGTTCTTCATTAAAAAAATTTTTTTAGAATTATTTTTATTTTTTTAATTCTTCATTTTTGTTGTTTATCTACATTTTTATGGATTGTTCTTTGCTGTCATAATAGAAACTCTCACGAGTGGCTTTCTACAAGTTTTATGTTTGTTTTTTTTCTTTCCATATATGATGCAAGGTATGGATTAAGTCTTTTTTAAACATATGGATATCTGATTTTTCCAGCATCATTTGTTGAAAAGACTATCCTTTCTCCAATTAATTACCTTTATTCAAAATCAACTGACCATATTTATACTTTTGGGTCCACTGATCTACTTATGGATCTTTACACCAACACCACACTATTTAGATTACTGTACTGTTACAAGAACTGAAGTTACATAGTGTGAGTCATAAAAATTTGTCCTTGTTCAAACTTGCTTTGGCTATTCTAGCTCCTATGCTATTCCAAATGAATTTTAAAATCATGTGTCAGTTAAAAACGTATGATAGGATTTTAACTGGGTTGACATTGAATGTATAGATTGATTTGATGTACTAACAATACTGAAATTTCTAAATTAATGAATACTGTGTAACTTTCCACTTATTAAGGGTTCTCTGAGCAAAGTTGCCTAGTTTTTAGTTATAAATCTTGCATCTCTATTACAGATTATCTTCAAAATTTACTGTCTGTTGACACTATTGTAAATAGTGTTTTTTCTAGTTTCAACTTCCAGTATTTGTTGCTATTTGGAAATAGAACTTTTTTGTTTGTTTGTTTATTAACCTTGTATTCTATAACTCTGCTAAAACCATTAGTTCTAGTAGCTCTTTTTGTAGTTTCCACGGATTTTTTCACCTAGAGTAGTGATTCTCAACTGAGGGCAATTTCCCCTTAAGGGACAATTGCAATGCCTGGAGATGCTTTTGGCTGTGACAAGTGGTATGTTACTGGTATCCAGGGGGCTGAGATAGAGGTGCTGCCAAAGGCCCTGTGGTGCACTGGAAACATCACTCCTCAACCCTAATAAGGAACTATCTGGTCCACAATGTCCGTGGCCAAGGCGAGGAAAGTCTGACATGGACTATCATGTTATCTTCAAATAAACAATCTTACTTCTTTCTTTCCAACCTGGAAGCTTTTAATTTCTTGCCTCACTACACTGGCTAGAATTTCTAGTATAATGTTGAATACTTGTTCCTGATCTTGGAGGGAAAAAAATTCAGTCTTTCATCATTTCATTATGTTAGCTATAGGTATTTCATAGATGTCCTTATCATGCTGAGAAATCTTCACTTTATTCCTAGCTTGCCAACAGTATTTTTTTTTTTTAAAATCAGGAATGGATGCTGAATTTTTTCAAATGCTTTTTCTTTAAAAAAAACAAATTTTTTTTGGCCACAAGGCATGTGGGATTGAACCTGCACCCCCTGCAGTGATAGTGTGGAATCTTAACCACTGGATCACCAGGAAGTCCCCATCAAATGCTTTTTCTATGTCTTGTGTGTGTTATTTGCTTAGTCGTGTCCGACTCGTTGAACCCCATGAACTGGAGCTTGCCAGGCTCTTCTGTCCATGGAATTATCCAGTCAAGAATACTGGAGTGGGTTGCCATTTCCTTCTCCAGGGGAATCTTCCTGACCCAGGGATCAAACCAGGGTCTCCTGCATTGCAGAGATTCCTTACCATCATAGCCAGAAGGAAGTCCCTAAATCTTGAGATGACCCATTTGGTTTCCTTTTTCACTGTAATACTGTAAATTACATTGACCCATTTTTGAACACTAAGCCAACTTTGCATTCCTAAGATTAACTTCACTTGGTCAACGTTGTATTATCCTTTTTATATAGTATTGGATTCAGTTTGCTAAAAAATGTTTTATAAGAATTTTTATTTCTGTTATGAGAATACTAGTCTGCAACTTTCTTTTGTTGTCTGTGTCAAATTTTGGCATTAGAATAATGCTATCCTTATAGAATGAGCTGGCAAACATTTCCTTCAGTTTAAAGAACCCCTATGGAATTGATAATATTTTTTCTTTAGTTTGGTGGAATTCCAAGGAAAGCCATCTAGGTATGGAGTTTTCTTTGAGGAAAAGTTTTTAACTATAAATTCAATGCTTTAATAGTTATAGGGCTATATTGGTTTTTCTATTTCTTCTGGAATGAGTTTTAGCACTGTCTTCCAAGGAATTTGTCCCCTTGGTGCAAGTGATTGAATTTATTGGCAGAAAGTTGTTCATGTTCTCTGATTACCCTTTTAGCAATGACATCATCACCTTCATTCATGATATTGTTAATCTTTTTTTCCCCTTGTTCAACCTGGCCAGCAATTACTCATTTTATTTATCTTCTCAAAGAATCAGCTTTTGGTTTCATTGATTTTTCTCTATTGTCTTTTATTTATTTCTGCTCTGATACTTATCATTTCCCTTTTTGTACTCAAGAGTTTCATTCGTTCTTATTTTTCTAGTTTATTAAGATGAATGATTTGAGACAACTTTTGAAATGTTGCATTTTCATTTTTTTCATTCAGTGTAAAAGTTTAATTTCCCTTTTGATTTCTCCTTTAATCTATGGATAATGTACAAGTGAGTCAATAGGTTTTTAAATATTTGGATGATTTTCCACATACATGCTATCAATTTCCAGCTTATTCCATAGTGCTCAGGGAACATATTTGCCCAGAACATGATACATCGCGGTAAATGTTGTTTATATATTTGATAATGTGTATCCTACAAATGGCCATTAAGTCCAGTTGGTTGATGGTATCACTCAACTCTGCCACATCCTTGGTCATTTTCTGGGTATTTGTTCTGTCATCATCTGAGAAAGTAGTATTGAAATTTCCAACTACAACTGTGGGTTTGTCTTTCTCTCCTTGCAGAACTATTAGCTTTTGCTTCATGTATTTTGAAGTTTTATTATCAGAGACAGAACTGTTTAGGATTGTTACATCTTCTAATGAATTTACCCATTCATCATTATTAAATCTAACTTCTGATTGTAGTCTTTGTTATGAAATCTACTAGAGGGACAGGTTTGGTGACCAAGACTGTGCACACAGTCTTAGACCATATGTGAGGTGAGCCACCTCAGAACACAGGGTTATGAGTCCAGGAGGGAGTGTGGTCCAGAGACACAGAACTGGATCAAGATGGTGCTACTGCAGCTCCTCAAGCAGCATCAGTAAAAAAAAGTGCTCCATCAACATGAAATACAAAGTCTGAATAAACTCTCCTCCCCAAGGGAGTCACACTATCTAGAAATCTGCGCCTGGCTGTAGGTCACACCAGCACAACCCACATCCTCTGAACTCAAACACAACCTGGGCAACATCATGCTTTCCTGTGTTATTCACTAAGTTTCCCACAAAAGCTACTTTAGATCTTTTACGCACTGTTTCAATCTTAGCTGTCTTACCTCCCTTCTCAATTTCAGTAGATGTTTCCTTCTCCTTATTCACAGGGAAAAGAGAAGTCATTAGAGAATTCCTTCACTTTAATTCCAAAAAACATGTAAAGTTACTTCACCTTCCTCCATTTCCTTTTATGAAGAGAAGCGATTTTCCAAAGCAAATGCTTCCCTATGCTCTGGATGTCATCCCCGCCCACCTTCTACAGGACCATTGTGCACCTGCCCCGACTCTTCTTCGCTCTCCACACCAAGGCACTGAGTTACCTCCACTTACCCTCTCTTTCTTTCTATACTCCTCCCCTTAGGTTAAAGGGAGCTTGCCAATGAAACAATGTTATTCTTGGCAAGGTCACCAAAGATCTCACTGTTGCTAAGTCCAACATACAACTTTCACTCTCTTCCCTTCCTTAAAGCAGCATGTGTCACTTCTAATTACCCCCCTCCCTTCCCCCCATCTTCCTGCGGCCCTGGGACGCAACGCTCTTAGTTTTATTCCTGCTTCCTTGGCTGTTCCTCGCCTCTGAGGACTGCATCTTTCTAACTGCCGTGTCCCCTCAGGGCTCTCTTCAACTGCCACCTATATGCTGCTGCTACTAAGTCACTTCAGTCGTGTCCGACTCTGTGCGACCCCATAGACGGCAGTCCACCAGGCTCTGCCGTCCCTGAGAATCTCCAGGCAAGAACACTGGAGTGGGTTGCCATTTCCTTCTCCGATGCAGGAAAGTGAAAAGGGAAAGTGAAGTCGCTCAGTCGTGTCCCACTGGTAGCGACCCCACGGACTGCAGCCTACCAGGCTCCTCCGTCCACGGAATTTTCCAGGCAAGAGACATCCAAACACAACCTGACTCCTTGAGCCCCCAACCCTTGTATTCCATTTAGCAGACAAACACTGGCTGGAGAAGCCGTGTGACTTGTGTGGACTTCAAGCTGTATCACTAACTATCCAGACCCCGGCCATCTGGCCATGTAATGCCACTGCGGAGCACGTTTTGTCACCCCAAAGGCGGTGGGGTGGGGTGGGGTGGGGTGGGAGTTCGCCGAGATGTTCCAGGGTCACTAAGGCAAACACTTACAAAAGTGTTATAAAAGGATGTGGCAAGCAGTAAAGCCCTGTACGAACTAACCTGCTTTATTACAAGAATAACACACGCTAGTCTGTCTGGAGAGACATCTTTGTTAAGCTCCGGGCGGGTGACAATGCTGTCTGGCAATCCGGCTCCAAGGCCTCGCTCCGGGACCAGGAAGCGGCCCACGGGCCAGGCGAGCGGTGCTATCTTACCTGAGGGGGCAGCTCTAGGTGGTGGGCGACACCCGGGAGTCTGGGTCCAGTGCCGCCAGATCTGACTTTTTTCTACAGAAGCTACCAATCTCGGTTTCTAAAATTGAGCTTTTCAGTTCTTTAGTGGGAACCAACGCAAAAAGACGGATATTGCCAGCGCCCCGGCGCTCCGCGCACACAGCCCGCTGCTCCCGCCGCGCAGCCCTTCCCCGGGAGCTCCCAAGCGCCAGCGTCCGCGGAAACGGCCACACAGGAACGGTTGGGCGCCAGGCCGGGGGCGAGCCTCCGAGGGGCGACCGCCGCAACTAGCAGGCGCGCGACCCGGAAGTCCGCCCGAGGTGTCGGGCGGAAGCTGGTGCGGCTCGCGAGCGGCGGTTGCCGAGTGCACCTGGACGCGCGGGGACCCCGAGCCCTCGGGCCGGCGCCCTCCGCGGGCCGCCGCCATGTCGCTGCTGCAGTCCGCGCTCGACTTCCTGGCGGGCCCGGGCTCTCTGGGGGGCGCGGCCGGCCGCGACCAGACGGACTTCGTGGGGCAGACGGTGGAGATGGGCGAGCTGCGGCTGCGGGTGCGCCGGATCCTGGCCGAAGGTGAGGGCGGCCGCGGCCGGTAGGGCGGCGACTGCGGGGGAGGAGGCCGGCCGCGGGTCGGGCACTTCCTTGTCGGAGGCTCGGGGTCAGGCCGGGCCGTGGCAATCCTGCCGGCGGGTGTGGGCCGACCCCCAGCCAGGGTGGAGGCTAGCCCGGCGGGCGGGACCCCACGCCGCTGGAGGCTGGAGTTTGGAGGCGGGAGGTGCGGCGGGAGCAGGCGAAGCCGTGGCCCCTCTTGCTCCGAGGGCCACAGTGGGTTGGCGGACGCAGGGCCGGCCCCCTGGCAGACAGGCGCTCGGGCGTGGTTGGCCGTAGTCCTGGCTTCCTCAGGTGCGGGGACACACTGTGCGGTGTCAGCTAGCCGCGCTGCCTCTTCGCCCCTGATCGTCCCTCTCCCCGGCTCTGTCTGAGACCCCAGGCGAGTTTCCGCAGGACGAGCCAACAGGTGTGACCGTTGCGGACCTTGCTTGGCAAGCCGGTCAGGGCCGTCTTCGGTACTTCCGCATGCCCTCTGGCTTTCTGAATGTCCTCTTTACTTCACGCAGAGTTTCTCACCCCTGTTGGTGCAGCTCGGCTTCCTCGGCCAGATTTTGCTCCTTTGTCTATCTGGCCCGGCAGATTCCCCTAGCCGTTGCACTTACCAGCTGAAGGCGTGGCTTTGGGGCCGGTGCTGAAGCCGGGCTTACCACCTGATGTCGCACCCTTGGTGCCACCTGTGCTCAGTTTGAGCTTACGAGTGCTGGCTGTTCTAGTGCCCCCCTTCCTAAAGGCCTCAGGTGGTGCTAAGGCCAGAGCACCACCACACACTTTTTCTCCACTGTCAGAAACAGATTTTGGGTGTGACTGGGTGAGAAAACCTCAGGTTCTTCTTTCCGATGTGGAGGCCAGTGTATCTAGTAGTGAGAAGTGTGCCCCCCCCATCAGTTCATTTATTCTGAAAATACCAGGCAAGTATTTTGAATCTTTAAGAAATTCACAGTGCTCAGCACATGGTCTCTACCTTGTGGAAGTTCTGAGACACAGGCTCTGATGACCAGAGGTCAACAAAGTGCGGGGGGCGTCCCCTGGTGGGTATACAGTGGGCTTAGCTGCAGGGCTGGTGGAGGAGGCCGGGGCGGGGGGGCGGGGGAGAGGTGGCTCAGGGGGAGAGGAAGCTCCTTTCAGTGGCTTGACCCCCAGGATGAACAGGGAGAGCGGGCGCCCTAGCCGTGTAGCACTTGTTCCCTTCGTTCTCCCAGCAGGTCAGGAGCCGTGGATTTCCTGCACTTAAACTGAAGTGGTAGCCCAGGGCTTCTGAAGCTCGTGAAGCTGTGTTTGAACTGGGACAGTAGGAAACCTGTATGAAGTCCTTCACATAAAATAGCAACCTTAGGATGTGGGCTGTGGGCTTCCGGTTGTCTTCTATAAATATGGGGAAGGTTCAGTTCAAAACTTTTGGGTACCTATTTGGACAACTGCGGAATTTTTCAGGTTTTCGAAAGGTAGAGTGTAGCCTGTAGGTTCTGGGATATTAGGGCTGAGAGTTGGGAAACAATTGCGTCATCAAATGTACTAATATTCAGTACTTCTGTAATGAAGTAAGTGTTCTCATTGTGGGGTAGTTAGGTCTTCAAATAGTCTCACATCAGTTCATGTTGGGGTTGTCCCAGCTGAGTTTCTCATCAGATTTTGCTCTCAAATGATTTAGGGAGAAAGCATTGGTTTTCATAGCTTTTTGCAATTTATAGCCTGAAATGGGTTGTTGAGTAGAACTGTGGAGCTAGATAGCTTTTCAGAATTTGTTCTAAATTTTCACTTTTTAAGAACAAACGGGCTTCCCTGGTGGCTCAGACGGTAAAGAATCTGCCCGCAGTGCAGGAGACCCAGGTTCGATCCTTGGGTCGGGAAGATCCCCTGGAGAAGGGAATGGCAGTCCACTCCAGTATTCTTGCCTGGAGAATTCCGTGGACACAGGAGCCTGGTGAGCTGTAGTCCATGAGGTCGCAGAGTCCATGAGTCGGACACGACTGAGCGACTGACGCACACGAAAGCAAAGTGCTGGGAACCCCCTACGTCAGAGCTGCCCGGCTGAGTGACCCGGGGACACTGGTGTGTCCTCCTGCTTGGATGCTGTGTGCTCACGCCTTCTTCCACCAGAAAGGCCGAGAGTGAGGGATTGCTGCTGCTGAGGAGCTCGATCTCAGGGCTGCCAGCTCTGCGGGGCCGGTCCACTGTGTGGACTTGCTCCTGGGGTGGACATGGGCTCTCGGGAGGCGAGCACAGCGGCACAGTGGTGGTGTGGTCTGCGGTCAGATGTCCCGTGAGTTCTGTCAGCCAGCGTGTGTCTGCTCGGACACGTGTGTGCTGGGCGTGGTGTCAGTGGTATTGGATGAACTTACGTGGTCCCTGCACAGAGTCCGTGTTCCCTGTGGGTGATGCGGGCCCGAGGAGGTGTGAAGGCACACGCCCGCCAGCTCCCAGGCTGGGTCCACTCCTGAGGCCCTGCTGCTGCTCCACGGCTCCTGCGGATTTCTTCTCTGCCCGCGGGGCCTGTCCTGACTGCAGAAGGGCATGGGGGTGGTGTGTGATGTGGACTGAGGTGGCCGTGATGGGGGAGAGGACTGGGCCCTCCTCTGCAGAGCCCCACCGCGTGGTGCCCTGGGGGGCTTGTCGGGGGCCGCTGGGCTGTGGTGGCCCCTGCGGACCCCCCTTTCCACTTGGGAAGCGTGGCTGAGCCCTGAGCCCCATGGCTCGCTGGTCTTGTAGTTCTGGTGTCTTTTCTCTTGAGTGTTGGGGTCTTGTCATCCCTGTGTCTTTGCCCTTGACCCTGGGCCTGGAGGCCTGAGTGTGGGGACCCTTCTCTGCCAGGGAGGGTTCCAAGTGGCTGTCTCCTCCCAGATACCGCGGAGCACACAGCCAGCTCTCACCGCAGGGCTGTGGGCTCGGGCGGCTGCCTGTGGCCCCGCCTCATGTCCCCCTCAGCTGGCCCTGCCCCTGCATGTGGGCAGCTTCAAGGTTGGCCTTGAATCGTGGTGATGGTGCCCAGTGTAAAACAGTAGTGGCCCCCACAGCAGCACTTGTGGGGCTCCTGGCTACGTGGGGGCGGTCACAGTGCTGGTGCTGAGCTCAGGGCTGCTGGGAGCCTGCCAGGCCGCCAGGGGTGATGGTGGGGCCGGGCGGGAGCCCATGAGAGGCTTGGTCTGAGGGAAGGTGTGGGTCCGTCTCAGCTGTGTTCTGCAGGGAGCGGTATCCAGAGGGAGTCCCGGTGAAAGCAGCTGCTGGCGCGGGGTTGCTGGGGGCCAGCTGGGAGCCCAGTGCAGAGGCTGCTGCACTGCGAGGCCTGCGGTCCTTCCCCAGCACACGTCTGCGGGTGCGTGAAGCGGGCCGGGGAGGTCACCCTGGGCGGGACTCTTCGGGGAGGCGCGCTCCTCCTCCTGCTGTCTGGGTCTGCTCTCCTTCAGGGCACCCCGTCTGTGTGAGCATGCCTGTCCCTGCAGGAGGGTGATGAGCTTGTGTGTAGTGGGGCTCTTGGAATTCTGCTCCAGGGAAGCGTCTGCTTCTCAGCAGCGGTGCTGAGAAAGCGTGTCAAGGTCACCTGACCTGCTTCCCACGCTGCGGCGTCACCCGGCCTGTGGTTTGCTGTCCCACCAGCAGGCCCCACCTCGCCTGGCCCCTGTCTGTGACCCTGCGCTGTGGGAGGGATGGTCCCCCGCCACCTCGGAGGCCCTGCCGGACTCCAGCCGCCCCCACCCTCCTCATTTTAGCGGGTGTAGGGAAAGAGCAATTTAGGATGGTGGGGTCAGCCTCTCGCCCCGTGTTTTGTAAACACGTGGTTATACGGTAGCCGGGCTCACTTATGGCAGTGCGCATGCGCGTCACGAGGCCTCCTGCCCCCCCCCCCCCCCCCTCCCGTTTGGCCATGGGCCACTTTTGGTCTAGAAGCACGCATAAGCCCCACCTGAAAAGCCCTTGCGTCTGCACTGGGGCCACCCCGGAGAGAATAAACGTGTCTCCTGTTCCTGCCGCTCCTGGAGTTTTCTTCCAGCTTCCCTGCTCGCACCTCGCCTGTTCTGGGTTCAGCGAACAGTGAGATACAGCAAGACAGTTGGTGTAGACAGCAGGATACCCAGCGGCAGGGAGGCCTGAGGCTCCAGGGGATGGAGCAAGCTGGCGGCCACCGCAGAGCAGGTGGCGTGACTGGCTGCGGCCTCTCGGCCCGGGCCGCGGCGGCTGGGTGCGCTTGCGGTGGCTTCGTGGACTTGAAGCTCGGCTCCCTTTCCTGCTGCGGTTTGCTGGCCCTCTCCTGCTGTGGACCTTGGTGTGTTTTCCTGTTTGGGATTGTTAAAAATAAAGCTCCCAAGGACATTTTTTACTGTGTGTGCGCGTGTGAATGTGTTTTCCTTTCTTTTGGGTAAAATGCCCAGGAATGGATTGTGGGCTTCTAGTCGGATGGAGGGCTGACTTTACATGAAACAGCCAAACCCTCTCCCCTTGGGCTTTGCCACCTGCTGCCCCACGGCCTCCCCAGTGTGTGAGTGTCCTGACTATACCCGTTCTCCAGGGCCTGCAGTGGCTGAATCTGCATCTTCTCCATGGTACTGTGTTGAATATTTTTTCACCCATTAGTCACTTGTGTTATCTTTTTTGTGTGTGTGAAATGTTTGTTAAAATCTTTTTTCCATTTTTTTCAGGGGGGCAGGAGTTGTGGGAGTATTTTTTTTTTAACTGTGGTATAATGAGAATTTCC